AGTAACTAGCTTCTCTCTTCAATTTGTTCAGCTAAACTTTAAAAATGAAAAAAGGGAATTGGTTGTCATGCACAACTGCTCCAGATTCTGTCTTTTCCAGTCTTGGTAAATTCCCCCCTGCATTTATGTGAACAGAAAGATCTATTTCTATATAGTAGGAAAAAAATGAGAGCAGAAATTGTAAAGTAATTTTCCTGCATTAAATCTCACACCAGGTGTTTAGTTTGGGGAAGGCAGTAAATGTCTCTATAGGTCGTGCAGATCCAAAAGGGGTAAACCGGTTTCGCAGACATTTTAGAGGAGGTAAAAAACACAACAGGGCTTGACCAAATTATAATTTCTAAATGATTGATTTTCATATAATGACAAATTACACTTTTAAAAGGGCCCATTTATCTCTTTGTGTGGTGAATGGCATCACAATGCACTCATTCAATGCTCGTTAACATACATACTGTGCATTGTGGTGCACTACTTTAGAAAAAATAGTGCCGGTCTGATGTTGGCTGCGTTGTCGTGCATAAGAAGCTCATTCAAATAAATGACCTGCCTTAACCCAGTGCACATTGGCACACAATGCAATACACTACAAAGATTTGAATAGTCCCTAAAAGGGTCAGCATTTTTTCTACCCAAGTTTTAAACAGAAGGCTAATTGCTTTTCCATACCAATGCGTTTCCACCAATATGCATTAAATTAAAAAAACAAAAATGAGGGTAAAAAGAGTCACACGTATGAAAGTTTTTATTATATACACATTTCAATCCAAATTCTTCATATTTTCTTTTTAAGTTAATGGGGTCCAACAGAACCTACCTCTTACAGAGATAATACAGCATCTACCATAAAAAGGGGTGACAGCCACCAACATACTCATGAGAGTAGGACACAGTTTAACCCCTGTGCTGTTCATATGGAAGCAAAGGGTTTAAAAAGGAGGCTTGGAAGTAAGAGCATAAAATCAATTTCCAATATTTGGTCCATAATTTGCAGGTTAGAAAAGGAGCAGAAACATGCGCACGCGGCGTTCTTATGTCCTGTCTCCATGCAGGAAGGGTGAGGATCGTCACACAAAGCTGGCATGGAGCAAAGCCTGAAGCTCAGTTCTTCAAGATGGCTTCAAAGGCTTGGGAGACGAATGGAGAAACCTCCGGTGCCCGGCACTTTAGACACAGCTGTATGCAGAAAATAAAAGTAAGATTTTTCATAACACTTCTATACTTGAAGCTTGAATTTTATTTTACAAATGACGAAGGTGAAGACATAAGCTTCTTCTCTGCATATTACAGCCTACATTTGTGAATCTCTAATTGGTAAGGATTAGCAGTATTTAAGATGTTATTAACCTAAATACAACTTCAACATACTACACACTGTAAGGCCTACTATAGTGGTTGTATTAATTGGAACCCTTATTGTTTTTAAATGGCCAAAAAAAGCATATGGGTGCCATTTTAAATAAATGGGCATAACGTATGAGGCAGGACAGATTATGGCACAGAGATCAATTTATTCCTAGTAACACTGATGTTGGGACGTAGAACCATATATCGGTTGCAGAGAGGCAGGTATCCTGAAAAGACTAATCTAGTATAGACCTTACCACGTAGCCAGACAATAAAAAATAAAGGGGAAGTTGGAATTATCAGTAGCTATAAGAAGGAGCTACTCTTTTTAGTTCCTTACTACTCTGCTTTTTAGGAGTGAGGCCTATATCCCAAATGTCTTTTGTGTCCTATAATATCCAGAAAACAGACTTCATATCCCCATCTATATATGAATAGAAGAGGCTCTCTTCCAGAATGAGGAGTCATACAGAGACAGCAGTCTCATGCTGAGTGAGGAAAAAAAGAAGTGCTTGATATTTCTGATGGCAAAAAAATAATGCCATATGTCTACAATATGGTTTGTCGAGATATCAAATACAAATATGACTATTGCATATGTGCTTTACAACCATTCACATGCACTGCAAGGAGCCCTGATGATGTAACTGAAGTTAAAAGGTATATAAAAGGGATATAGTGCGACATACTGACTTCATCCACAATGTGCGTAAAAACAGACAAGTGTGTTGTATGAATGTTGGCCAAATGCGATGCGGTACATTTAAACCTTGCTTAAAATAGAGCTGTCATACTTCACTGTGACATTTTGAAGCAATACTTACAGCACAGCTGGGACTTCCAGGCTGCATCCTTAGCTCTGCCAGCACCCATATACCATTTGTGAGTTTGATGGACTGATACAACATGTCCTGACCATCCACAGTACGCCGGGCCACTGTGAACACATTGCTGGCCTGCAGCTTATTACTTACAGCATCTGTAGAAACATAGTGAGGCTTCAGTATAGAAATCATAAAATATTAATGTGTGTGCTTGTTACATGATGTTAGAGGTAGAGAAGTCGTGGGCAAAATAACAGACCAGGATAAGCAAATGGAAGGCGCCAGGCCTGGCTTGGCAATTCATCGGAGCAAAAATACTTACAAAATATAATAAATTGCAGATAGTAAAACAAAGTGAAGTAGAAGTATAGAGAATGTTTACTTAAAATAGCCAGTTTATACTTGCTGAATTTATCCATAAATATCATTCTATCTTTAAGCAGATCTTGCACTAAAATGCAAATTCTGCTTTTTCAATAGCGGCCCACCCCCATGAGGAGAGAATAAACATGCGGGAAAAAAAAGTTTAAAAAAACTTTAACTGCCTCGCAACCGGCTTCTGCCTGCAGCACCTATAAGAGGGTGACATCACAATCCTTCAGGTGAGATTATAGGAATGCGGAGTATTCCAAAGGTGCTCCACCACAGCACAGGAGCATCTTGGGACCGTTGGGATTCTTAGCATTCCCAGGATCTCACCAGAAGGATCGTGAAGTCCAGTCCCCATCATAGGGGATGCAGATGGAGGCCATGTGTAAGGCAAGTATATTTTTTTAAATCTTTTCAGACTCTTTTTTTTCATTCCAAAAGCTTTATTGAAAACAGTACCTAAAGTATGTAACTAGGCGCATACATGAACGTACAACAGAAATCATTATTTTTTTTTGGGAAGCCAGGAAGCTGGCTTCCCTGCCAATCAGCATTGACCTGGCATCCCAGGCAATCAAGAAACCGGACAGCGGGTAATGATATGCCACCCGGCTTCCTGATTGCCCGGGAAGGCAGCTCCATGCGAGTAGACGTACCGGTACTTGGTATCAGCGAGCACCGAAAGATAAATATATCGGTATTTGTACTCGATACTGAAGAACCGGTATTGGTGCATCCCTACTCCCAACCATTTATAACACTGTTTAATCCACACTTCAACTTATTTCCTATTAATAAATACTCACCAGAATTTGGAGGACACTCTCTAATCTGAAACTGGGCCTCATTTTCATTGGGAATGTCCTTCCATGTGGCCAAAAACATCTGCCTCTCTGAAAGAACGAAACAAACCCCATGGTTACACATACATGTGAACGCATTACAAGAAGCAGCCAGAGTTATACATAGTGGAAATCACAAGGGGCGACAAATACTACTGTAATACTCAACAATTCTCACCCATTTTCCCATCTTCCATAAACAGGATGTGCAGTGTATATACCACACTGAAGTAAAACACATCAATGTTGTTTTTTATTGCCACCTACGGAGGAAAGGAACATGTGCATCAAATCATAGTATGTATATAATAATATCCATTCATACAGAGTATAGTTGGCAGTAAATTTACATGTAGACTTATGGAATTTACCTGCAAGTTATTCAAAGGATCCATTTTCATGACAGATCCAACTGTGTTTAATGGTAGGGATACCTCAGTAGACTGATTGGGAGCCAAAGGTGTAAGTATCTGAAGTGGAGCAGCAGGTGCCAGCCCAAAACTGTTAGAAATAACACAACAGGCTCATTATCAATAACAGAAAAAAATACACAGGTCAAATTCAGGCGACAAATACTGGCAAAACATTCTGTACCTATTACGATTAAATTGTATGGCAAAGTCACTCATAACCTGGAGGGCACGATTTGTAAAGTTTAGATCCATGAATACAGCACCAGACCTTCGGGTAAAGGTACCACTTATCTCCAGGCCTTTACCTTTCATAGCATGCAGCCATACCTGAGCATAACCAAGAAAAAAAAAAAATCATATTAATGAATGTGTCAGCAAAGGTTATGGCTACAATGATCACTTCAGTCCATGTAAAGTGTATACTTTGCAAATCGGCCTACTGCAGCAAAATGTATGGCAAAAAAATAAATCACTCACTGATTTTGGAGGAACGAAAGATCCAATAACTCCCCCTGTCCCAGGTCCCAAATCAAAGAGGTCTCCAAGTCCTCCAGAGAGGGGTGCACCAAGGGAGGCTGGTGCCACTGGAGGAGCTATGAATCCTGTTGATAGCTGTAGAACACAAGAAAACAATCATTCAGAAGCTTACGAGTGAGAATAGTAAAATTATTAATATAACAGAAAAGCTGGTCAGGAGGGTTATAACAACTAAAGCTAGATTTCAGAGTAATATTTCACTATACCACATGCATTTCAATGCAGACTGACAAGTGTCAATGCTAGGCAAACAATATGCAAATCATTAGTAATTAAACAAAATGTAATAGAAGTAATAAAAGACAAAGCAGCATGTAATTTACATAGACTATGGTGACCTAAATGAAACTGGTTTTGAAAGGTGCATGATTAGTGAATGAACATCATTCACCTTACTATGACCAACATTGCATGCATAGATAGCACATGGAGCATTTCCAAACATTTAAAGCACCAGGAAAACAGAAGTGCAACTAAAATGACTTACTGTGAGATTTGGACCGGAATCCCCTCCCAGCTGTGGCGATAAAAACATAAAGAATCACTAAGAGAAAGAATGTTGCTTGACTTATAGAACATCTGAAATGGGAGTCAGTAGGAAAGCCCTGATGTCTGTAGAATGTGATAGGAACGCCCTAATGTCTCTAGAATGTGATAGGAAAGCCCTAATGTCTCTAGAATGTGATAGGAAAGCCCTAATGTCTCTAGAATGTGATAGGAAAGCCCTAATGTCTCTAGAATGTGATAGGAAAGCCCTAATGTCTCTAGAATGTGATAGGAAAGCCCTAATGTCTCTAGAATGTGATAGGAAAGCCCTAATGTCTCTAGAATGTGATAGGAAAGCCCTAATGTCTCTAGAATGTGATAGGAAATTCTAGTGATTTTATGTGCTAAATGTCAAACGCTTCAGTGACTGGTGGCTTTAATGAAAACCTTGGGAGCTTGCATTTGGGGTTACACAGACCCCACAAACCCATGCAGTGTAGATGGTAAGGACTCCCTAGCATACCCCTTCTGTGTCTTCCACAATCTTTGGAGTTCAAGCAGATGGGAAGGGTGGCAGAGCACAGGCAACCAGAAAGAGGCAGGGAGACATACACAAAAGCCACAGAACAGCAGGCAGGAGCAGCATAGGAAAGAACATTGACAGAAAGAAAAAAATAAGTAAGGGATCAGCCCAGATACACAGTACAAGACATTTACAGTACTTGCAGTTACAGTATTTGCACTGAGGGAGGGACATTCTATTGTTTACATACCAGACTGTCCAGGCCTCCACCCAGGAGATCCACACCACCCAGTGGTAGAGAGCTTGTAGTAAGGGTGGGTCCACTGATGGGAGGAGCTAAATCCAGGTTTAGGAGGTCTCCAAGAAGATCGCCTTGGGATGGAATGACTGCAGGATGTGTATCAGCTTGGGTCTGTCCTACAGGTGCCACATCTGGACTCTCTGCACTCTCACTACTTTGATAAAAGAGACATTAAAAGAAATTAATGTTCTTCCAACAGTAATACCAAGCTGTATGACATATCTAACAGGACAGAGATCAGAATATTGATCTGCCATATAGGAAGACTTCTAGACAACATATCTCCTACTGAAAGCTTTTACTACTAACTGCTACGTCACATTAATATACACCCTTTCCATAATACCATTATCAAACCATATGCCATTTCTAACAGGAAAGGAGATCATAATATTGATTGGCTCAGGGCTGCAACTAACCATTATTTTCATAATTGATTAGTTGGCCAATTATTTTTTTTCGATTTATCGGATTAAAAACAAATTTTTTTTAATTAAATACCAATCTTAACCACTTAAAGACCGCAGTGTTTCACCCCCTTCATGGCCAGGCCATTTTTCAGTATTCAGCGCTGCGGTACTTTGACTGGCGTTTATTCCATCATGCAACGCTGTACTGAAACAAATTTTATAGAATTTTTTGGGGACAGATAGAGCTTTCTTTCTGTGGTATTTATTCACCACTGGGGGTTATATTTTTTACTAAACAAAAAAAGTACCCCTAAATTTTGAAAAAAAAACATGTTTCCCTATAAAATGTTATGAAACATTTATTATCACCCAGTTGCGCGCCTGCGAAATCGCAGAAAACGACTGCAACCAAAATTGGCCATAGGCTTTAAAAGTTATTACCGCTCCTCAGTTTAGTGTTATCAGTAATTGATGACCCTAAAATTATTGCTCTCACTGCGGCGTTCGCGGCGATATGTAACATGTGCGGCATAATTGGCGCAATTGTCGTTTTCGTACATAGGTGCACCCGACGCATGTTTGCGTCTGTATGTGGGGGGGGGCGGGGGACTTAAAGCCGCACACAAGTGGGTGGAGGGGCAGGACTGCACCGCACTGGAATGCACAACATTGCGGTACCGTATGTTCTGGTGTGGGCACTGCGCGTAGGAGGCGTGTTTGGAGTGCCTATGATATATTTGGCTCCACAACGCATCTCCCGTAGCAAGATTTGTCAGGCCGAAACAAAACTCTCTTTTGAAATAAAAAAAGAAATTGAGGACACAATCTGTTTTTCTGCATCCCCTGTACTCAATGAACAGGAAGAATCAGTACAGAGGCTAAATCAAGAAGATAGTAAACAGATACTATGTCCACAATCATGAATGAACAGGAAGTGATGTAGAGCAGGGCTCAACATTTCCACTTGCCCCCTCGCATTTGGCGGTATTATTATATAACGAGGCGGTATTATTTTCTATGTGGGGGGCAGAGAACAGGGGGGAGAGAGTGTATTATTTTATATGCGGGGGCAGAGGGTATTATTTTATATGTGGGGATGTGTAGGGCAGCAATGTTGTCTGCCTTCAACATTTAAAAGTGTAATTTCAAAAGATAATTTAAGAGGGTAGGTTTAGGGGCGGAGTTAAGGCCAGGGCAGGGTAAGGGTTAGGTGGGGCAACTGGTGGCGAGTAACTCTTAAGGCCTGGGTAGTAGCTCAGGACTTGAAATTTCGAGCCCTGATGTAGAGCACTTCCTATCCATTCATAATTGGAGACAATATCGGAATACTATGTCCTCAATTATTTACCAACATCGTAGTGAGCAGTACTCACTGTGATGTTTTAATATTACAGGGAACGATGAGCAAATATTTCACATATTTGCTAATTGTCCCGCAGCTCTCCTCCATGCACCGCACCTTCTTCTGACTTGGCACGGTCACTGTTCTCTCCTCCCCACTGGGCGCCGGCAGGTGGATCAGCTCTGTGTCTCCTCTGATCCCTGCTGAGGTTTTATTCTAGTGGCCGTCAAGCAACATAGAACAGTCCTCACTCAGTAAACCTGCCAGTAAAAATATATGGGGGCTGCTATTGTTGACTTTCTTCTGCAAATGCTAGTTTCCCGGTTGTCATGATGACCCTTTAGCATTATTAATTTGAATGAATGACCTGGAACAAATATACAGATCAGGAAAGTCAAAGAAAAGTCAGAAGTATCTTATCTGTATACTTGTTCTTGGTTGGTTATTAAAAGTATAAAAGCCTGTGCATAAGAAAGCAGCCAGGCTACTAGCATTTTTAGAAAGAGAAAATCCGTAATGGCGGTCTTTTGTTACAGATTACCTTTAAAGACAAATGAGAACAACCATTAATTTATATTGATCCAAGGTCAAAATGAATCCAACTTCTAGCGTTGGAGGCCTGAAGGCTCCATTTGCTGCCAGTGGAGACCTGGAGGATCTAATTTCTCAGTCTCCATTTGTTCCTGAAGGAGACTGGAAGCTTCAAGCATATTCTGGAACCTACAGAGATGTACTATCAAGTCAAATGTCCAGGTCTAAGGACTCACTAGCAATATTAAAGTTTTCATCCTTCCAAACAGAGAATCCTCCCTCAATTCAGAAACTTAGTAAGTATAGGGCTTAGGGTTCTGGGCCCTAGGAAACAAGATTAAAGTGACATCAGTCAACACTGATGTTTCATAAGTGTAGCGGCAATTAATGGAAACTTTACTAAAGTACCATGAATGTGGCCAGCAGCAAAGCAGCATCCCCTCATTTCACATACCCCCGGGTGCCAAAGCATTATTTAGAGTTTATACTATGCTATATTAAAAGCTGGCCTAAGGGTATAGTGTACTTCCAAAGGGGAAACATTTCACTCCACATACAATGATAAAAGAAAATACAAAAATCGACCAAATATGCTGAAAAAACTGCCTATTATCCAATAAATACTTACGAGCCGGCCCGTGGTGGCAACCGTTTGGGCACAACTCCACGGCTTCCCTCCACAAAAGCACTTGGAGGTTTGTGATAGACAGAAGCTAGTGTACCAATGTAACAAATAAGTTCCTCCAGCAGTGTGGGCTCAATTAGGTCGGTTTCCTCTGAGATCAGAGGTTTTTCTGCCAGGACCACCTCTTTGGCAGCAACTGGGTCAGTTGACAACAGTCGCCAGTAGATGTAGCCACGATCTCTTAAGTCAGGGTTATCAGAATCCTGTCATTAAAGGGGGGAACAAATATAAAAATCAGTCAAGCAGTGCTTTCTTCCTATATTCTGCTAAGCTTTAAAGTAACAAATACCATTATCGGTTTACTTATATTACTGCTCACTTACTTTATAGAATAAAAATCTATGGTACCTCAATGGTATTACCAAAAGCTCTTAGCTGTCTAAACAAGCTGGTAAAAGAACTAAGCTGTAAACACCTGTAATTTGTGGACTTGCATATCTACGCACAGCTCCCTATGCTGAGAACTGGGATTGAGCACCTATTGCCGACAGTGACAGGTCTCCTACTATTGGGAATCAATTAGTGTGGATGTCATGTGATCACCGTGACAGCCAATTATAATAGTTAAATGCAGAATGGAGACGATTGATTGCAAACAAACTTCACCCTGCAAATAACACTGTGCCTCTTTCTTTATGCACTTGGGGAGCACAAAAAAATAAGTAAAGTGTTAGAAATCATTACTGCATGATAAAAAAAAATTACCTTTTGCCCATTAGTCTGTCTACAGTAAAAACATGACCAGGGCATTTGATACAACAGTGTGCCAAATAATCGCGTTATGTTCCCTTAAAAAGACTGTGCAAAAGTTAGGTTGGCAAATTAATACAGTTATTGTGGACCTAATAATGCATACCAAAGCTGCTAAATTTGGTCAGGGCAACAGGGCTTTAATGAACTCTGGTCAACCAGCTGTTGTAACTGATTCTTCTCATTCTATATTATTTTATGTTATAAAAGAATACAACAAGAGAGGTTGGAGTACAGAAATGTGGGTGGGAACACCCAAAACTCCCAGGTAGACAGAAGCTGGAAATTATGGCAGGGAAGGTTTACTATTGGAACATCCAAGCCATATAAAGAGCCAGGGGCTCACTCAGCCAAATAAGCTCCAGATATAACCAAGACATCACATTTAGGTGGACCATCCTTTTAAAATAGCCTGAACCTAACATGGTCAGTATTACACATACCTGTGTAGCTAGACTAAGTACTTGTTGTGCAAATATGTGTAATGTAAAAGCAAAATCAGTTTAGGGCAGACTGAAGCAATGCAGAATTACTGCTGCAGAATTGGCAGTAAAATTCAGCAAATCTTGCCTCCTTCTCTATAATGACAATACAGAAAAAAAGCAATTGTCCTGCTTTATTTTTGTGTTTGGAGAGTATATGGATTCATATATTGTACACTAGTTTAAACAGATCGAGATTTAAATTATGGGGAAAGTGAAATGCATCCATCCTCATAATTAGAGCTGACATGCGACACTGAAACGGTCACACGTCAGCTCTATTGATTGGGAACGGAGCGATCACATACTGATGATCAGCGATTTCCCCATCTTCTCCCTGCAGGGATTCCCCACTCCCCTCTCCCCATTCCTCCAGCGGTGACTGGAGGGACAGACAGGGGAGGGGGCGGGCGCAGCTGGCTCTGCCTCCATAAAGGCAGAGCCAGCTGTCAATCAGGCAACGGGGAGGATTACAATAATATTGTCAGGATCCGTCCTGGCTGTAGCACGACTCCGCACTGTTTTGGGTCACAGGAGGCCATTAGTATATGTCCTCCTGTAACCCTAAAAAGACAGTCGTTCTCAACCTTTCTAAGGCCAGGACCCCTTGGTAACAAGTTGTGGTGACCCCCAACCGTAAAATGTAGGGATGCACCAATACTAGTATCTGTGTGGGCGCACTCACCTCCCCTCACTCCTACCTGCTCCCCTCTCTCTGATCCTCTCCAGCGCCATCTAGAACTGACTCTGCTGCGCTAGGAGGAGGCAGAGGAGCCTCTTACCTAGAGCAGCACAAGGCACGTGGGGACCCCCTCAACTGTGTGTTGCGACCCACTTTTGGGTCGCGACCCACAGGTTGAGAACCACTGCCTAAAGAGAACTATGGCAAAAGGGCCATAGTTATCGTTTAAAGACATACCCGTTATGTCCTAGATACCTTGCCCATTAGGCTCTGTAAGGATATAGCCGAGAGTTCACGCACTACGGCGCATGCGCAGGTCCCAGCTTCCCATACCATCAAAAAATATGCGCTGACGCGCATGCGCACACAACGTAACAGACGTGCTAACGTGGCATACAGGAAGTGACAAATCTTCCTCTGATTGATGACCCTATATAAACTGGACTGTTCCATTGATCAGTGCTGAATGGTATTTCAGCTTATGTTCCTGTGTTCCTGTTAAGCTTGATTACCTGTTGCCTTGACCCGGATTGCTTTGACTAGGATTTATTGCTCAGCTGGCTTCCAGTCCTGCCTACCTTCCCAGGGAAACTATTGCTGTACGTTTGTCAGGCACTGGGCCTGAACATCTTGGCACCCGTGCTACTCTGTCTGCTCGCTCCCTGTCCCCACTTCAAGGGGTGTGAGACAAGAGCCACAAGGGAGGCCTCCTCAACCAAGGTCGGTCCTCTACCAGGAATGCGATATGCACACTCCAATTCATACAACTGTCAGATACTTTTTTTTGTGTATTTCCACGCTTGCGGCCAAATTAGTAGAATATCTACTATATATTTGTTGAAATGTTCCCATTCACATAGCATTAAAATATTTAACATTTGCAGATCTTTTTACTTGCTGAAAAACATTAGTTAGATTTCCCCGTCTATGTAATGTTGAGGGGTCTGGGGTGTTCAGAGTACCATAATTAACCCTGTCTGTACTGTGTTATGCTGGTATTATCAATTGTAAAACTAGATATGCAGGACTGTCTGTCACAACACAGGCTTACTGATCGCAAGGCTTGGGTGATACATAGGATGTCCATGCACTTTCATAAAAAAAAACTTCACTCTGTCCCCCTATCTGCACATTGTTTTTATTTCAGTAAGAAGCTGTCTTTAGTGCACAGGTTATAAACCTGCGCCAAAGAAAACAAAAGTAAGAACTATTTTATAAAAGATTATTTTATTTATGCTGTGTGAAAGGGAACACAAACCTATAATGGGGGTTTCCAGCCGTCCACCTTCTGGTTAGATGCGGGAATATGGACAGCTCTACCGCATCTAACCAAAGGGAGGACAAGTGGACGCTGTATGAGGTGATTTAATGCAGTTTGAAGTCCAGCCGTCCTTCCCCATTTCCCCTAACTGAAACTCCGTACAGAACTCTGCCTGGGAGAGAATGTGCTGAAGCCTGAGCTTTGCAGCTGTCATCGAGTGATCATAGCTGCCATGCTTTCCAGGCTTGAATGCAAAAATGTAAGAATTTTTTTTTTATATTATGCGCTGAATACTGAAAAATGGCCTGGATGGGAAGGGGGTTTAACACTGCGGATGTCAACTGGTTAAATATGCATTTCTTTAAATTTTGCAAAAGGTGAATGTAGCTGTTAAACACAAAAAAGGAAGTTAGGTTCCCTCTAATGACAGGTTTGCTTTAAACCTTCTCTTTATATAGACTGAGTGTTACAAATGACACCTGTACAGCAGCATGGAAAAAAACCTTACCTGTGTGCTCTCGTCATGGAATCCCTCTAAGAAACTTTCCAGCAGCTCATCAGCATTGTCAATGCGCTCAGCATACTCCCCCACAATCCAGATCATGGCTGCTCTTGCCTCTGGCTCATCCAGTGAGTCCAGGTTCTCACACAATGTAGAGATAACACTCTCATATCTAAAGTAGGGAAAAGATTTATCAACATGATCTACAAACATCATTCCAATTAGGTTTATTATATTACTGCCAATAATGTGGACTCACAAGGTCTGTAACAAAATTACAAAAAGGTTAAATCCCAAAAGGGGCCCTTAAGTCCAATACATTTGTATTAAACGTGATGACGTCACAGGTCCTTAGACCGCTGGAGCCTGAGGGAAAAGAGGCTGCGGGCACTAGTCTAACGGCGTGGCTGAAAAAAGGATCAGGTGAATATATCTTCTTTATGATCACCCCTAGAGAAAAACAAGCAGTCAACGCTTGCAGTGCGGGAGGTACCCCACTGCAATGGTTAATTTTTCGACAAGCTGGAGTTCTTCTTTAAATGAAAGAGCGGATATCATAAAACTGAGAAAGGAAGGGTCTGCTTGCCAAGAGAGACTTACTTGTTTGGATACTTCCTAAAAATGTCCTTTATCACCACGATAGCTTCTTGGACTACATAATTCACCTTGGTCTGGATAAGATCCAGTAGTGTACTAACACAACGTTCTGCAGATTGCTTGAGAGGGACAAGAAACAGCATTAATCACCAATAACTATTTCTTCTATTTGGAGTTTTTTTTTAGAAGCACTTCATCATCACTACATATCATTAAAAAAGACAATTAAACGGAAGTACCTCAACTTTAATGGCACAGCGTCCGATTGCTCTTACAGCTTTCCTTACAAAGTCCACATCCACTTCAGTGGCATACTCCTTCAATTCTGCAAGGACCTAAATAGAACACAACTTGATTTATTACTGAACTATATATCAACTCTGTGCAGTATTTCAGCGAAAGTGAAGCATTTAATCAAGTTATTGATATTTGCCATAAAGTATTTTATAATGTTACTTTTACATACTTGCAGTAACACATTTCATTATTGCACTAAATATATGGATTTGTGCATACTACTAGCTCTATATAATCACACAACCTCCTTAAAAGATGAACGCCAGCCTTCCCTTCAGTCTTGCACAGTTGTGCGGGCTCCTCTCATGGACTTAAATGGTTTACTCTGATTTTACTACACACTGTGAGCTTCTCAACGTGTGTATTAGAAGCTAAAGCACATCAAATAGAACCCAACTCATTTCCAGGCTGGAGCAATTCCATCATCATCTGGCTCTTTCCTCTCATGCCTTAATGTCCCTGGCCTGCTTCCTTTCCTTCATTGGATTTCAGTCATAGAGTCTCAGCATCACATGTCAGTCTAGTTCGCTTGGGCAGGTTGCATGCAAATACAGTCAGTCTAGGAAGCTGACTCTTCCAGACTGATATCTACCCATCAAGACGTTTTAATATATGCATAACCCCTCCTAAGAGAAAAGCCACTGCTTCTATTAGGGCTGAGGGCTCTTTATTGGAGTACTGAGGTGGGGTGCTGTGATGTTTTCATGAAGCCATGTACAGCATTCTCTTGGCACCCATCAGCCATGATCTGCCGGCATTGCGGAGAACAGAGACCCAGTGATGACATCAATGGGTCTAAAGTAAAGTGTGTAATCAAATCGTGTGAGTGTGCAGAGTGTGTGTAATGAAAAATTTAATTAGCCGGTTGATGAGTGGGTAAAAAGAGGAACCAGCAAAGGCGAAATATAAGCAGATTAAATATCAGTTTGGAATCAGCTTCTGTAGAGAATAGCATAATAGCAGACCGTAAACAATAAATCACGACTACAGTGCAGCCCTACAAAGCAGGGAGCATAACCTGCATAAGTAACAAACAAATATGGCTGTTACATAGTATTTGAGGTTGAATAAAGACACAGGTCCATCGAGTTCAACCTTTGGGTGTCTGTGTGTTATTGTGCATGTGTATATGTGTACATGAGGCCCTGTGTGTCATTGTTTTTAAGAGTACCTGCACCCCTGTATGTTGTGGCCTCTGGGGAAGGTATCTAAATGCTTTTTGAATAATTTGATACTCTCAGCTAATACCACTTCTTGTGGCAGCGAGTTCCAGACTATAACCGCTCTGACTGGAAAAAAGCCCCTACGCCCCTTGTGGTTTAATCTTTTCTCCACCACAATTTTAGGTGGTGGCCTTTAGTCTTTGATATGGAGTTTACTGTAAATACTTTATTGCTGATGTTGCCATCACCACTAAACAATTTGTACATGAAAATCACGTCCCCTCGTAATCTCCTCACGTCTAGCGTAAACAAGTTTAATTAGGGGCAAGTTTAATGAAGGGGCTGGAGGACCAAAACTATGAGACAAATTTTGTAACTTGTCTCCTAGTTTTGGTCCTCCAGCCCCTTAATTAGTTTTATTTCCCTTCTCTGGACTCTCTCCAGCTCAAGGACATCCTTTCTGTGGATTGATGACCAAAACTGTTACTCGTTACATTAAAAAAAAAGAAAGACTATAAAACAAAGCTTCCCTTTATCGTGCTTCTTTCTTGGCAGTAGAGCAGTAACAACGTTACTAACCTGTGCAATATTTGCAGGCGAAGCTAGTCTGATCATGATATCAAGCTTCTCCAGTTTAACATAGATCGGGTCATTATATTTAACAAAGAAAACTTTCATTTCATGTTTTAGGATCTCTGGTCTGTGAAGCAAAAAGAACAGAATGAGCATCAGATTTTAGTTTCCAGCAAGCACTGATAATGCTGCATGGCTGAACGGCACACATCTTACCGTTTCTGCACAATGAGGTTAATGTTACGCAAGGCCACATACTGCAATTCAGGCTCAGCAGAAAGCAGTGTGACTAAAGGAGGGGCCAGTTTCTTCAACAAAGTCCCATAGTAGTCTAGATCTTTAGACAGCATCTCCATCAATTTCATCAGCACCTTCACTGCTGACAGCACAACTGCTGAATTTGCGTGCGAGAGGCGTGGTGTTACTCGTTCACATACACTGTGGAAAAGAAATGAGAATTGTACCTAAATGATTTTGCCTCAACCAAAAATGATGCATCAAATCAATAATAATAGAATAATAAATAAAAATCATTCCGTAGACAGCAACAACTTGCATACATCTATAGAGTTAAAACCAAACCTGAGGTGTGCCCTGGTCACACTGGTCAGTATGCCTTAAAGGGAGCACATTCAGATAAAAAAAAAAGTAAGACACAAAAAAAAGGGGGTTGCCAAAAATGTATCAACCGTGAGTGTAAGATGAAGGGAGAATTTAAACAGTCAGACTCCACCCACAAATCCAGGCTAACCAATGGCTAGCCTTGAAACATATACTGTCTGGGACTGGCCTAGCAGCTATGTACATCAGAAATGTCACCAGCACAACAGTGGATAGTGTTTAAAAATCTAGCAGCCAGGCGGGTTAGAAGATCCGACAAGTATATATATTTTATCTCAGCCTCTAGACCAAACCAAACATTTAACCCTTGCAGTGCAGGGTTAGCCCCACTGCAAGGGTTTATTTTATTTTTATTTTTTTTATTCCTAGAGTTCCGCTTACATATATTCATTATTTTCTCTTATTACTAGTTTTCTCTAAACTGGATTTTCCTCTGGAACCCAAGAGTGGATGGGAGGTTACCATCATTATCCTGTCCGTATTGTTCTGGCAGATCTCTATCACTTATAAACTAGATCTAAACACTGTCTGTCCTAACAAAGGGTTAAAGATCTAGAAGAAGTGTATGTTGAGAGGAAGTCCAGTCTGTCCCTAGCCTTTCTATGGGGACAGAGTTTCTTGTCACTTTGAAATTGTACAGAGAAGATTGCAGTCTGCCCAAAGGCCAACTCAACAGAGATATCTAAAAAGGTAAGAACTATTCTTTAAAAATATTTTTGAGTATGTTGTGTGAATAGGTACACATAAACAGAGGAGTTTTCTTAAATTTGACTGCAAAAATGGAAATACACCTTAAAGTGTAAATCATGCCAAAAAACATTTTTGTAGTTTTGGATAGAGGGAAGAAGAATTAGAACCTCTGGACAGGAAATGAGAAAAAACTGAGACTCCTGATGGAGCTTCCAACTTTATTCTACCCTACGATTGAAAAGCATTTCTTATTTCTGTGTTGCTGTTGGAGAGTTCCACTCATTTCCTATCTGGTAAAATGTTGTCAGCAGTACAGGAAGGAAGGCTAAATCTCTCTAATGGAACCACAGATAGGATCAACTGTCAGAGGTTCAAACCCTTCCCCACTCTATCCAAACAGAGAAAAAAAAAGTTTTGGCTGGACATACACTTTAATTTTTTCCATAATTCATAAGGAAGGAACACATGACCAGTAAAACTTTTTTTTGTGTGGCTCTAATGCACCCTTTTACCTGTTAACAATGTTTGCCTGGCACAACATTATATCATTTTATTCCTTTACCTCTGGGCTTCACGATCATCCTTGGGGATATAATTTGCCAAACAGTCCAAGATAAAGATCTGACCCCATTCAGTGCATTCATTTAGAGCAGTCAGCAGCTTGTTGATTGACTGAGGATTCAGGTCCAATAAGTTACTACTAGGGTGGGATTCGGCAATCTCGGAGAGAGCTGCTACTGCATTAGCCACAACCTAGAACAAGATGGAATCACTAAACAGTCTGTACACACCAACGTATATGCCACCTAATGTGATACACACAACGAGTAATTACCATTGGATTGGAATCAGAGATGAGATCTTTCAATGTGTCCAGGAAACCCTGGTCTTCCACTAGCTGAGCATTGATGTCATGCAGCTTGGCTACACACACTGCTGCAGTCTTGCGCACATATGGGTCCTCATCTTTCAGGCACTTACGAAGTGGTTCACAAAGATACTCTGTTATTTTGTCCACACGTATACAACCCATAGTGCGTACGGCTAATGCACGGATTAAAGGGTTGGGGTCTTCACAGTCCTGAGAAAAGGAAAAAGAAATTCACAGTTAAAGAAGAAATATTGGGAGGGAAAAAAGTCCCCTTCCCAATATTTTGAGCCGGCGTGGAACACTGCAGCTGTCACATGCCAGCTCTATACTGAGAGCTGAGCAATCATGAACCACTAACCATTCAGCTCGGAGTCCCCTCTCTGCAGAGAGAGGTGATTGTCAGTCATCGCTCCCTGCAGGGATTCCCCCTGCCCTCTCTGTTCCTCCTGCACTCACTGGAGGGTCAGACAGGGTCGGTGGGTGGGCTGCAGTCACTGGGTATCCTGACAGTGGCACACCACACAGCTAGATTTTCTTTATGAACCTTCATATGAAAAAAAATCGTGTCAGAACATTTGATAACGCCATCAGAGACTTGACGAACGTCGTTTCAGGTTTCGTAAAATTTTAACATTCCATTTTTGAACGAATGGAGTTTCTTAAATAAAAAAAAACACATTCACTGAATTTTGTTTGTTCGAAAAAAAATTTCCTTTCTGCTCCTTCAATATTTTTGGGCCCAAAGGTCCAAACAGTCCTTGATTATGCCCCATAAATAAATAGAAAGTCAACGAATGTTCTGAAAACTCATTTTTTTCAAACTAATTTTTACTAGTGTATGGCCAGAGTGCACAGGAACTAACAAGCTCGTTATTTTTTTTGCAGGATGCTGCCAGTAGCACAACTCTTGTCCAAGGGTGACAACACTTCCTCACTGAACTGTACCTATGGAGCACTAGGGCAAGAAGGGTGATAGCGTTATAGAACACCTCCCCCTCTATATATAACATAGGAGAGTTGTTCTGTAGGTTAGAGGTGAACTAGGTAGGGCCAGCAGAGTGCAGAGAACCTTATAAGCTCACTGCATATGTAGCAGGATCAATAGGTGATTGCTTTGCTTTTTTTTCTGCACTCCAACAGCTGAATATAAAATGCTTTCACTTGTATATTTAACATACCAAACCAAATAAGAGGTTCATTGTTAGGATTTACACAGAATTGAAGGAGTCATCTAAACTCCACTATCTGTTTCATTTGCTCCGACAGTGGACACTTCTACATTTGGTTTTCTTTAAAAGAATGCAGCCAATACGATTTTTCAGATGTGGTTACAAAACCAGGTGTTCAGTCTCATTTAGCATTCTTTCACATCATTAGAAGAAGTAAAGACATTAAAGTTATTACACATTTCAGTTCTTCCTCATCTGCCTAAATGTAAAAAGGGATTCCACTGTAAAAGTTATAAAAAAGCATGGCTAACTTGCAGGGTGAGGCTATTGCAATAAAGATGGCCTTTGATTATCAATGTGCCAAGAGCTGGCTTTCTGCTATATGATAAATACATGCCACCTTCCCATCTAACAACTTACCTTTACAAAAGTGTTTACAGCCATGATGGCCATGTCAGGCTGGCTTTTAGCATAGTTCATCAAGTACAAATAAACCAGCTTCTTCAGCTCCAAGTTATCGGTCTGCATGCAGTTCACAACATCAGGGAACAAGGCACTGCCACAAGAGCAAAATGTAAGCTATACTGTGTTTTAAGAGAACAGACATACAGGTAACAAAACACAAAAAAGGCACACCAGCAGAGTATTCAGTAAAGAAGTGCAATAGTATATATGCAACCAGATTTCAGTTTACTGCAGTCAGCATTGTTAAAGAGGAACTGATCTCTGGAAGCTGTGCCAAAGAAAAAGACACGCAGAGGGCAAAAGACTAGACACCAGTATTACATGTGGAGTATCTGCAGCTGATCATTATCACTGACTTACTATGCCTTGTTATGCGCTGTGTTAATTCGGCCATCTTGGTAGAGGCAGTGCTTTGCTTCCTCATGTCAAAGCCTCTTGCAAGAAGGCCAAAAAGCAGCATAGTAGTTACATCATCAAATCTCACTCCAAATTTCCTAAAGTAGGGTATACACAGGATGAATTTAGGGCGGTTCCTAATGAACCCGGCTGAAAGTTGCACAATGGGTGCTGCTGTCGGCACCCTTCCGCCCGACATCCCTGGATGAGCTGATTGAATGAGCAGGTTGGAAAATTTGCGGCTGAACCAAGCTAGCAGCCAGTTACTAGCTCCGTTCGGGTATTTTAACAGCGGCGCTGTCAGAATAAAATGCAAGCAGCAGGAGATTCATAAGTGCTGGAGAAATCGGTTCAATTTTGTTTTGTTCAGCCCGCAGGTTGAAAAACAAAAAACATGTGCATGCACAGCATTAGACTAGCAGTCAGAGGCAGCAGTGCCTTAGACCTCACACTGCAGTTAGACAGCTATGAAGCTGGAGGGAGAGGAGTGGCTAGGCACACTTGCATACCAGAAGATGCACTGCTATTTATCAGGAGGAATTTCAGATAAAAAGGTAAATATAAATATTTCAGGGTACTGCTTAGAACTATTAACATTCATAAAGTGAGATTAAAGTCTAAATCCCCCCCATGCTGCTTTAGGGACTTACCTTAAATGATGTCTCTTGATCCGATCATCTTCTTCTTTTCAGTAGTTTTCAGGAGTCTATCCAGCGCTGGTGCCGGTTTCTGATCCACCGCTGACTGCAGTCTCTTCCTGTCCCACGGAGTCTGTGCGGGTGCACCCTGCCGGGCTGCCTGCATTGACTTACCCCGTGTCTCTCCTCCTCTCCCGGCCGAAGATCTCTACTGCACATGCACTCACCCCATGATTAGGATTCTTTGCGACCACCCGAGAATCTTCTGATCTTTGGACGGGAGCGCAGGTAAGTTTTATCAACTTACAGTTGATATACGCAAAAAACCACAAGGGTTCGTTTGTCCTTAAGTGGACCTGAACTCAAAAAAGGAAGCTTTTCTAAGCTATACGGAACTTAAAGAAATGACATGTATTTTATAAATATCTATGGGTCCCTGCTCTTTACACATTTTTTTGTACTGTTTTACTAAACAGCACATAAGTCTACAGAAAAAAAACACAATTACCAAAATGTGACATCGGTATTGATTACAGGACTGCTGAAGAAGAAGTGTAAATTAGCAGATCACCGTTTTCAGAAATGCCTGACTTGGCACAGTCAGTCAATCATGTATACAATGACTGACAACCGGATGTTAGCAAAAGCCAAGTCAACTGTTCAGACTAAAAAAAACTCTTCCATTTTCCACTAATCAGCCAGAGTGGAAACTACTCTTCCTTCACTGGATGAAAGCATGCAGAACACAAGACCTCATCAGCCATCTTCAATTACAGCAAACCCTACAGATGATCATCACAGTGAAACCCTAAACCTCCTATTCACCTGACATCCTTCCCCACGGTCATAGAAGCAATGACTTTCTTTACAGCCTCCTTCTTCTTCTCCTTCTTGTCGCTGTTCAGTTCTGCTTTTAGCTCAAAGATCTCACCTGCAAGTGTGAAATATAAACTTAGCCATTTCCAACAAAGCACGGTTATTACTTCAGGCCTCCCCACATCCCCCATGCCTCACCTTTCTTGGTGGTGGTGAAATACTTGGAGTCTGTCATGTTTGCTCTGGAGTTTCACACTTAGCTGTAAGGAGAGGCAAAATGTCAGTTAATGAACAGGGAATCTTTATTAGGAGCCGTCAGCTGACTATACAGGAAGGAATGAGGCTACACTGCCCCCCATTCAACAGGAAAGAAAACAGAGAGAAGGTCGCAAGGGGAGAGACAGGATTCGATAAAACAACAGCTACAGCAAGTAATATATCCTCCGCCCAACCTTATCACTTGTTTTCCAAAAACATTCAGCCTGGACAGAAAGATAAAAAAAGAACCCCGAAGAACATACATGTCTGTTGACTTGCCCTTTCATTCAACAATCGATAAGAAGAGGAAAATATTTGCTATTTAGTAAACTTATTTCATAAAGGTTTACAAATACAAAAAGTATTCTGAACAATGTGAGGAAAGATAATTGGTAATATCTAAATCTAAGTCGCCTTGACTTTCACTGTTAGAGTGGCGTTAATTCTTAAAAATGCATTCAAGTACCCTATTAACAAAAATGTATCTTATCTGTGTATCACTCGGCTGTAGATCCTCAAATCCTCTCTGAATTGGTGCTCACACTGTCCTTCCTTCTGGAGGGTGGCTACTTTTGTTCCCCATGGTCCCTGTGTGTGTTGTAACTTAGTCACCACTCTAAGCTCTGTCCTGTAATGGACTACAATCTCAATACAAATTAGTAAACTAAATGTGAGATTGTAGTCCATCTCAGGAGTGAGCTTGGTGTGGTGGCTACTTTACAACACACACAGGGGGGAACAAAAGTAGCCACCCTCCAGAAGGAAGGACAGTGTCAGCACCAATTCAGAGATGGTTTAAGGATCTACAGCTGAGTGATACAAGAATAAGATACATTAAGGTGCTTAAATGCATTGACAAGATTTATCTACTGAGTTTAGTGTCACTTTAACAACTACATGTAAGAAGGTTGAGTCGTTTTATATTTTTTTACAAAGTTCCCCTCTTGCGATCCAGGTAATGGGAGGGGTAGGTTGTGATCTGACCATGTTTCAGGTTACATCCTGAATATGGGTGGAACATGAAACATGGCCAGAAAGGTAAGCTTAACCTTTAAAGAATACTGCACTTGCATAATGCCTGCTTGCACAGACTAGTACAATTGTCGATCTCTTGACTGGGAAATACTATTTCCTCCGCAGCAATACACTTTTAAAAAAGAAAAAAGTTAACAGGAACTATTAATGGAAACACTCATTCCAGTGATCAATGTCTAATTTATAGAATATTTTCGATTCAAAACAGTCTAAACAAAAAAATGGAACTGGGCACTAAAAGTGAATTAAAGTGACATTAAAGGATGAACATTTTCCCTCCCCCCATGTTAATGTTAGCCCTTACCTTAAACAATGCCTCTTAATCCGATCTTCTTCTTTCCTGATGTTTTCATCTGTCCCTCCAGCGGTGCGGCGGCTCTCCGATCCAGCGCTGACTCCTCTCTGCTTGCAGGCACTTCCGATCCAGCGGTGTCTGCATGCGGGTGCACGCGTCCATAGACTTACCTTGCGTCTCTGCTCGTCTCCCGGCCGAGAATCCGAACTGTGCATGCCCCGCCCCAAGATCTTTTGCGGCCGCACGAGCAGTTTCGGACTCTCGGCGTGCAGCAATAACTAGCTAAGTTTAAACCGCTGTTATATCTACTGCTTGCTAGCAGTAGGTATAGGCAAAAAAAACCTGAGGCTTTACAACCCCTTTAATCTAATCACATAGTCACTAAAAACATAGTTAGGTTTCTGTAAAAGCTGGTAGGACAAGCTTAGTAACTTCCGCAAGTGACAGACTAGCAAAACCAGGAACTCCCATCAGATGCATAAAGAAGGGATATTGTCCAAAGTGATTGAAATTTCAAGCCACTCTTCCTAAATGTTGGGCAAATCCAATGTGCTGAACAGCCACTGCTACTGAAAAATAGGTTAGAGCACAGGTGTGCAAATTAATAATTCAGGAGCCAGTCTGTCCAATCCAGGAGCCAGCAGGGTTTTTTTTGTTTTTTTCTGGTAGCCAACTCCTTTTACAAATACAAGGGGGAAACCTCAAAAGTTAGGCAGGAGCACTGTCCAGCTCTGGGTTAGTGTCACGCATTTTGGAGCTCTTTCCAAGTATACATATGTCCAGAGACTCCTCAATAGTCCGTGTGGGCTCGGAGATTAGAGTGTACAAATATGTCAAACCTTGCTGTCCAAGTCTACATAAGCTGATTAGTACATAATATTGATATAGATTAGGGGTAGGCAACCTCAGCACTCCAGCTGTGGTGGGATTATGTATCCCATAATGCCTCTGGGGGGTCATGTCTGTGGCCAACAGTCTTGCATCAGGGATGAGTGACTCCTATCGACAGGTGGGCTTTTTTAAAAAACATTTATCCCATTTTTTTGCCCTGCGTGCAAGCAGCAGGTTTGAGGTTTTTGGCTGCATTAGCAGGGGAGCCACTGCTCGCTTTGTACAGCTGCCCAGGTCACTTGTAGCAGCCTGCTTATCCCGCAGCAGCCGGCTTTTGCCCACGGCAAATGACTTCACGATGGAGAGCGGGGGGCAGACTGGAGAACATACATTCTCCGATCTGCTCTGTGTGATCAGCGAGAGACAGGAGTGCTGTACTCACAGAGCTTCCTGTCTCAGCTGTCATATACTGGGCTGAACAGGAGATTGAGCACAATGTTCTGCCCAATCATCTGTATTGGAGGGCAGGGGGAGACATCTGGAGTCTAATAGATCCTAGATGTCTCCATAAAAAGATCCTATCACCTCTAAACGCTATCACATAGAGGCTTGTTAGCCCGTGTGTAATAGCAATAAAGTTAAGTGGAAAAAAAAAAGAAAAAAGAAAAAAATAATTTAAAACCATACCCGCCATCTGTATGCAAATAGGGCATGCACGTGAACGACAATTGCGCCACACGCTGGTAATCACTGCGAACGTCAGAGTAAGAGCAATAATTCATGGTTAACTTTAAACCGATGACCTGTATAGGCTTTTAAATGGTCACCTATGGACAATTTTGTGTACCATAGTTTTTCGCCATTGCAGAAACGGACATGAAACTTTAAACGCTTGACATGTTTGGTATCTATTTACTCAATGTAACTGCATCTTTTATATTTTAAGATTGGGTGTTTTATTCCGGTGATCACTGCTCAGTCATTTTGGGGCTTGATTCTGGGTTTGGGAACCACGTGATTTCTCAAGTGGGCTGAATGAGAAAAAACTTAAAATGTATGGCCAGCTTTAGGCTTTCATCAGTCAGTGCATGGAACAAAGTGCTAATTCTAAAGGGCAGTAACCCATAGCAACCAGATTCAAATCCACTTAAAGTGAAGCCGTTATTAGGAAAAATGACTGCAAAGAGGCAGAACTGAAAAATAAATACGTACCTTTCCCGTTGCTCTGGCCACCAAAACACCACTCAGTTCTAGGGCTGCAACAACTAATCGACATAATCGATTATAATCGATCATTGAAAAAGTTGTCAACTTTTTCAATAATCGATTAATCGGCTCCTGATTGGTTGGCCCTGTTCACGGCTTAACACACGCTGCTTGCCACACCTCCTCCCCCACCTCACGCTCGCCGCTGCCAGACCTGCCCGCATCCACGCTCCCGCACCTCCTCCGCGCCTCACGCTCACCGCCCGTCCAAATCCACAATCGGCACGGGGACGCGGGAGAAGAAGTAAGGAGGAGCAGGTGTGGGGGGATGACAGCCGCCGATAGACAGGCCCGATCTCAGAAACAAGTTGCTGGAAGACTGTTCAGGTAAGCCTGCACTCCCACCCACACATGGTGCTCTATAATGTATTGCTGGGATATGTATTCCTCTATAGCTGATGGTACATTGTGCTGTATATTATACAGAGCAATGTACCATCAGCTATAGAGGAATACAAATCCCAGCAATACATTGTACACTGCATGTATAATGTTTTGCTGGGATTTGTTGTACTCCTATATAGGCGGTGGTATTCTGCATTGCACTGTATAGAGGACTACAAATCAAGGAATACCACCAGCTATAGAGGAGTACAACAAATCCCAGCAATAATACATTATACAGTGGTGCAATGCCGAATACCACCAGCTATAGAGGACTACAACACCCAGCAATAGTACATTATACATTGCAATGCAGAATACCGCCAGCTATAATGTACTATTGCTGGGATTTGTTGTATTCCTCTATAGCTGGTGGTATTCTGCATTCATTGCTGTATAATTTTACACTTTTCATTTCACTATATTGTACACCACACTTTTTTTTTCTACTTCTACTGCTCCAAGCTTGCTCCTGTGATGGACTGCAATCTCAATACAAACTAGAAGTCCCATCACTGGAGCCATTTTTTAAAATGTATTTTATTTTTTATCCGATTAATCGAACTTAATAATCGGCTAACTAATCGATTTTGAAAATAATCGTTAGCTGCAGCTCTACTCAGTTCTGTAGAAATTTTCCTCCAAAGTCTGCAGGGAAAACCAACACTTCTCAGAAGCGTATCTTGGGTCCTCCAGAGCCGCCGATAGCTCTCACTAGTTCCTCAGGCCAACCTCCACGTCATTACTGTGTGCTACAGTGACATGCTGGTCAGCAGGAGGAACGAGTAGAGCCAGGCGATCCACACTCCCAGAAGTGTCTGTTTCTCTGTGGACTTTGGTGGAAGTGGAGCAGCAGCAACAGAACATCAGTTTCTTACGCTCCAGGTATGCCTCTCTACAATCATGCTTCCTAATGACAGGGTCACTTTGAAAGGAAACCTACATTGAGAAAAGATGAAGGCTGCCTTTGCTGACTCTGAAAATGCTAGTTGCATGCCTGTTGCGGACATCACGTTTGCAACCAACAAAGTCCGAGTAAAACCAGAATTACTGACATGACTGGGAACTGAAACCATTGCACCAGACAGCAGTTTCAAAACAAGTGGTCATTGATGGCAGGTTTCTTAGTACAGGGTAACATGATGGATTCTGGTCAGTTGGGTTACTGCATTTAATAATTAGAACTTTCACCAACACTGGCCGACAACATACAGTAATTGTCAGTCAATGAACTCCATGAAACAGGATACAGAGACTACTCCAGCTGCGTATAAAGGATAGAATTTTGTTCGAATACGGTTGTTTTCAGAAAGTTCATTTGATTTTTCTAATAGTTATTGGGGGACAAATCAACTATTGTTTTCAACTGTAGCAACCACAAAAAGTCAAAGGAGCATGATGGAAATTTTTCCTGGAAAGTACAAAATATGGAATGAATATGACAGTTTCAGAATGTTCCTTTAACTTTCTAATAATTAAGAGTCAAATCAACTATCATTTCCAACTGAAAAAAACCCCCAAAAAGGAGCAGGATGGAAAATATTTCTCGACCAACCGAAATTCTAACAGTGAATGTGGATTTAGTTCAGGAAATTCCATTCATTCCAAAATCCAATGTTAAAACCAGGTCTATAGGTTGAACCTGGTGGGACTGATGGATCTATTTTCAACCTGACTGCAACCAAATGACATTTCAAACTGTATTTGTCAAGATTCTGATGGCATTATCGAATGTTCTGATGAGATTTCATGTATGAACAGTCCTACGAAAATCTACCAGTGTATGACCAGCTTCATGGTTCATATCTCAGGGACCAAGTTACAAAAAGTCAAGCTAATTCTTTAGATAACGACTCTCATTGCAACAGGAACCAGCAATCTAATGGGATGCTAAGCCAATTGTTTCTCTTTTCCTCCAGATTTTAGAGATAAGCTTCACAATTTTACACAATGGATGCCATTTCCTCAAGTTATACTGGTCTTATAAGACAAAGCCTGTCCTAGATCAATGTACAATAAGACTAGTACATAGATTTGTACATCCATAACCCTGTACTATTTATAAGACCTTCAAAAGAGAAAGGTCCACCCTATAGTGCAAGTAAATAGCCAAGTAAAAAAATTGGGGCCCCCAAGAGCTTTTTGCCATATGTGCAAGTATGCACAGCATATTACCACATTATGGCAAACATGTCTGCCAAAGCAATCCCAAAAAATATGCTGCCTGGTGCCAAGTGTCAGCTTAAGGTGGAATGAATGAGGCTATGGCCGCGAGGGAGCTCCAATGTCCATGCATGCATGGCCCACAGCTCCCTCACGTGTCCTATAGAGGTGCCTTGGACCGGAGTGATGTCACATTCTGGCTCCCGGTACCTCTACAGGGTGCGCAAGGGGGCTGTACAAGCAATCCAGATATGGATGGAGCGCAGTCATAGTTCAGCAGCCCACACTGAACCCCAAGCTGAGAATCCACTCCAGTTCTCGTAAGGTAGGGAGACTGGGCGGACCTTAACATTTTTTACAAAAAATTAAATATTTTTTGGAGTGTGTATGTCTGTGAGTGTGTATGTAGGTCAGTGTTTTTGAGAGGCTGCTCACACTAGTACATTGACGTACTGTACCATGCAATCGCACCTATCATGCATTCTGGTGTGGGAGGTGTGTTGGGTTGCCATTCATCTGAATGGTACCCCAAATACACCTCCCACACACAGCTCGTACCCCCGCACTGGAACACGCCATACCCTAATTCCGTGCATTCCATTGCAGTGCAACTTGGGTGGCAACTTAATGACCAAGGACAAATGTGGGTCCTGAAGTTACACAGGTTGAGAACCACTGCATTAACACATGCTTGTTTTGTGTGTTACATAAAGGGGAGTTTGTATAGGCTCTGAACAGGAAATAAGTGTATGTGTCCTATTGTTTGTAATGCACAACACATGGAACATTTACATATGTGCATTGCGGTGCCCTACAGTGAAGGTGTGATTGATTTTACTGTATAAGCATTGGGGTGTCATTCAAAACAAATGGCAATGCACCCCAACACACATACAGTGCAGGATATAACAAGTGTTATCTTAGCCACTAATTTAGGAACCAGCTGTTGGCGCTATTCAGACGTATGCATTTCAGTGCATGGCGGGTGTGCATTCCAGGTGCATGTTACATGCATTACTATTCATTCTTATGTAAACACACAAGGCACAAATACATAGCAGACAGCTAAAACACAGCAGGGTGCGCCCCTATGTACATATGCTCTGACTGATATGTATATAGTGGGCTGTATATCTGTATTACAGGGTTGTCTATACAGGACCCCTCCAAGGTGAAGACTGAGGGTCAGGGTTATATATAGGTATTAGAGCTTAGTGGCAGGGTTAGCACAGCACTGCAATCAATAGGGACAGCAGGGATAACCGGTTAGCCGGCCTGTCACAACCCCCGCAGCTCAGTGACCCCACAACTCTGACAATCTGTGTACACTATTCCTCCCCCCCTCCATCAGCTGCTCGCCCACTTCCGGCTCCGGCCTCTCCCGCCCCGTCTAAGCCCAGCTCACCGTAGAGGAAAATAGCGGCGAAGGCTGCCACGCTGACCTCAGCGGAGGACACGGTGTCCGGTCCCGGGGCTCGGGCTGATCGGATGACAAGGATGTTAAGTGTGTGTAGATAGGACTCCTCCTCCCAGCACTTCACCGCAAAGATGGCGGACACCTGCTGTAGGAAGTGACGCTGGAGGAGGAACAGTCTAATCCCACGTCTAGGAGGTAGAGTTACCATAGGAACACGAGAAGCTGGAACGGGCGAATGTCACGGCAAGCAGAGCCGTCCCGGCAGGAAGGGGTGGCCATCAGCGGGGGGTGTGTGTGCCTTGCTCCTCCTAGAGCCGACATGGCATGAATAGTTTTGTTCCGTATGTCAGTCAGCTATGGCAGCCGTCGCAGTTTAGCATTCGGCGATTTGATTGCCGTGTACTGACAGCTGACTGGTTGCTAAGGGTTACTCTGTGTTCAGTAATGGGTGTAATGTACTGTACTACTAGGATGGGGCCTGGGGGTGAAATGTAGTATGGGGGCTGGCATGGGGGTGAAATGTAGTATGGGGGCTGGCATGGTGGTGAAAGCTAGGGTGGGGCCTGGTGTGGTGATGAAAGCTTGGATAGAGTCTGGAGCTGACATTGGGCCTTGCTTGAGAATTAAACCTGGCCTAGGGGTTGCGATGAAAGGTGTCTTGGGGCCTGGCCATGAAAGCTAGCATGGTGATGAAAGTTAGGGTAAGGTGTAGTGATGGAAGTTGGAATGAGGCCTGGCATGGTAATGAAAGATGGGATGGGGTCTAGTGTGGTGATGAAAGCTTGATGGGGTCTAGTGTGGTGATGAAAGCTTGGATGGGGTCTAGCGTGGTAATGAAAGATGAGATGGGGTCTGGCGTGGTAATGAAAGATGGGATGGGGTCTGGCGTGGTAATGAAAGATGGGATGAGGGTCTGGCGTGGTAATGAAAGATGGGATGGGGGTCTGGCGTGGTAATGAAAGATGGGATGGGGTCTGGCGTGGTAATGAAAGATGGGATGGGGCTTGGTGTGGCAATAATCACTGGGATGAGGCCCAGCGTGGAGATGAAAGCTGGGATGGGGTCTGGCATGGCAATGATTGTTGGGACGGGGGTCTGACATGGTGATGAAAGCTAGGTTAGGGGCCCGTTGTGGCGATTATCGCTGTGCAGGATGTGTTGCTAAGGCTGGGTTCACACCTAGGCGTATCGAATATGAGTGTTTCGTGCCGCGCGTTTTTACAGCGATTCGCGTAAAAAAACCGTGCAACAAACGCGTGTTTCCGAGGGCTAACTGGCTGTATCCCAATGGATACGTGCGGCAAATATGCCCCAAAGAAGCTCCTGTACTTCTTTGGGCGTAGGGTCGTTTTGTAGCGCGTTCATACGGCCTGTAATACGCCCAGGTGTGAACCATACCCATAGGAAATAATGGGATTTCGGTGTTTGAGCGTTTTGCAGAGCGTAGGAACGCGCTACAAAACGCCCAGGTGTGAACCGGGCCTAAGGGAAGTGACATTGGGAAGCAGTACACAGGCCTCCTACGTTTATACTTCCCAGATCAACCCCTCCTGTATTAAACCAACTTATACCTCCCAGATTCATTTCTCCTGCATCTAGATGTACTTTTACACGTGTTCAGCTGCTGGAAATCAGACTAAAGGTCTTTGAACACACACATTTCTTGTTTATGTAAATGCAGCTGGACTGAATGCATGTAGATACTGCCAAACCTCTGAATCCAGCCATAGAAAAGCATTACATGCCTCCAGGCCGAATGGGGCAGAAAGCTCCGGTGAGAGGGGGCGGAGCTTCAGGATCGGTAAACAATATTTTATCTGCTCACTTTATGAATGAGCAGGAAGCAGCTCAGTCTTCCTGTCTATTCATGTCTGGGTTGATAGTAAATATTTATTATCTCCAGATTGTGAATGAACAGGAAGCCCCTGTACTGAGAGCTTCCTGTTCATTGAGGCTATGGCGGTCCGTGGGCACGCGGTCTTGGAATCGTCGATCGGGCTGGCGGTGCCATTATTTCCTAATGCCACCCAGTCGTGCCAGGCAGATCGCACGATTTCCCGTTGCGATACTGCTCATTCGTGTCACAGAAAGAGGTACATGTACCTTCTTTTTATCAGTTGCCGATCGCTGATATCTGGGGCTGCAGAAAAAGAGACTGAGGACTCCGGGTGTCATTGGCATTCAGGGCAATGAAATGAAGGCACAAGCACATACCCAATATTAATGATTGCAATGAATCTCTCTATTAGGGATCTTGTGAATTGGCTCATGTGCAATTTTCTTACCCATTTTTCATGCATTTAGGAAGCCTTTGTTTCCATCATCGGAATCCTTCAAAACCTTGTAAAACAGGTTCTTTTAAAAGGAAGCCATTTAAGGAGGAGGTGATGTAGAGGGAGTGATGTGCTTAGAGGCGTGGTTGTTTTGTGTGTCTCTGCTGTTGCCTGCGACTGCTTTTTTTTGTGTGATACATGTGTTAGTTTGTGCTATTGTTGCTCTATTTTTATATTTATTTATTCTTTTTATAGAAGAAGAACCACATTTTAAAGACATGGATTCCTATACAGTCCTCTACCTGATGTTAGGTTTGGTGCAGCTGAAGCTGCTTTTGGAGCAGTCAAACCAGCGGAGGAAGAAGAGGCCACATCGTAGGTACTGGGTGCATCCCACTGTCTCCCGTCGACTTACCAAAGGTCACTTTCATACCTTGTACCATGAGCTACGCAGATACCCGCAGAAGTTCTATGAATATGCTCACATGAGAGTGACAACTTTTGATGCTTTGCTGGAAATATTGAGGCCGCGCTTAATGCGAGCCAGAACCAATATGAGGCTTCCAGTTTCTGCAGAAGAGCGTCTGCTGGTAACAATGCGGTAAGTTGTTTGCCCCCCCCTATTTTCAGTGCTAGATACTTTGCTATAGAATTGTAAACATTAAAGAAGAACTCCAGGAGAATAAAAAACATAACCCTTGCAGTATGGAGTAGCACCACTGCAAGGGTAAGTGCTCGTTAAATAAAGCAGATTTACTTACCTGTTCTCTGCTCCTGCTGGCTTCCAGGCTGCTAGGTAAGTGCTCGTTAAAGCAGATTTACTTACCTGTTCTCTGGTCCTGCTGGCTTCTTCCAGGCTGCTCGGTAAGTGCTCGTTAAATAAAGCAGATTTACTTACCTGTTCTGTGCTCCTGCTGGCTTCTTCCAGGCTGCTAGGTAAGTGCTTGTTAAATAAAGCAGGTTTACTTACCTGTTCCTTGGTCCTGCTGGCTTCTTCCAGGCTGCTAGGTAAGTGCTCGTTAAATAAAGCAGATTTACTTACCTGTCCTCTGCTCCTGCTGGCTTCTTCCAGGCTGCTAGGTAAGTGCTTGTTAAATAAAGCAGGTTTACTTACCTGTTCCTTGGTCCTGCTGGCTTCTTCCAGGCTGCTAGGTAAGTGCTCGTTAAATAAAGCAGATTTACTTACCTGTCCTCTGCTCCTGCTGGCTTCTTCCAGGCTGCTAGGTAAGTGCTTGTTAAATAAAGCAGATTTACTTACCTGTTCCTTGGTCCTGCTGGCGTTTTCCAGGCTGCTAGTGGAAACTATTCTCCACAACTTCTTTTTCCCTGGGCTCTGTCTAAGGACTGCCGACATCATCACGTCTTATATAGATCCATTGACCTGCATTAGACGTGAAGATGCAGAGGGGAAGAGGGTCGAGTGCCGACTGTGGCGAGACTGAAGATTAGGTGAGTATATCAGCTTAATTTAAGCCCCCTAGAAAAAAACGAGCACTGAACCCTTGCTCTGCGGGGGTAGATCCACTGCAAGGGTAAGTGTTTGATTTTCCCAGAGTTCCTTTTTAATTAATATGAAATGAAATTCTAATGCAAGTTAATTTCCTTTTATAGGTTTTTGGCAACAGGGGAATCCTTCTCTTCCCTGCATTTCCAATTCCTTTTGGGCAAAGTCACCATACATACTATTGTGCATGATACATGTGATGCAATTTGGACCCTGCTGAAGGATGATGTAATGCCTGAGCCCACCGAGGAAAAATGGTTGCAAATCAGCAAGGAGTTTGAAAAGAACAGCAATTTTCCACACTGTATTGGAGCATTAGACAGCAAGCATATTCGGATTCAAATGCCTCCAAATAGTGGCTCCAAATTCAGCAATTATAAAAAATATTTTTCTGTTTTGCTGACGGCTATTGCCGATAGCAATTACAATTTTGTCACTATTGACGTCGGGACGTATGGAAGCTCTGCTGACTCGCAGGGTTTCCGAAACTCTGCTATGGGAAAGAGGATTTTGGATGGAAGATTTCATATTCCCAGTCCCAGGCCTTTGGAAGAAAATGGAGATCCCTTCCCTTATGTCATAGTTGCAGATGATGCATTTTCTCTGTCTACCTCCATCATGAAGCCTTATCCCAAGCGGGGTCTGGATCTTAAAAGAAAAACCTTTAATTCCAGGCTAACCCGAGCTCAACGTTTGGTGGAGAATACATTTGGTATACTGACAACGAAATGGAGAGTGTTTAAAAGCGCAATTCAGATGAACCCTAGCAATATTGACACAATTGTCAAAAGTGCATGCGTTCTCCATAACTTTGTTTGCCAGAAGGAGGGACATAATTTTGAGGACCCCCTTGTCCATAATTTAGAAGATGTTTCCTGGCCCTCTGTACGAAGCACCAATGAAGCATGGAATATTAGGGAGAAATTTGCCAAGTATTTTATGTCGCCTGCTGGAGAGCTTCCCTTGCAGAATTCCAAAGTTTAAGCTCCTTTTTAGTTTTTTTTTTTTAATTCCTTATAAACCATAGACCTTACTGTTGTGGAGTCGCAATGTATGATATTCGTTTGACTAGCTAAAGTATGTTTTTAAATGTCTTCTGAATGCCAGTTTAGTATGTGGGTAAAGTAGGGATTAGTCAGTTTTTCTTTTCTGAGAAAAAAAGAAGGGCGCCCACCCTAGTGTAGAGGGTTTTAATGATTATGAGTACAAATACAGAGTAAAAACATACTCACAAAAGTGGATCAATAAAAGCATAAAGACGAGCCTATGCAACTGTAGAACGGCTGCACATATGCCTGTGTGTCAGCACGGGACTCCTGTGATGGCGCGTTTCCGGGGCCACGCCCCCTTCGTCAGAACATATCCACTGCCTCACTCATAAATGTCTTCTGAATGCCAGTTTAGTATGTGGGTAAAGTAGGGATTAGTCAGTTTTTCTTTTCTGCCTGTGTTCCTAACGGAGAGATTTTGTTTCCCTCTGATTTACTAACAAAATGAAGGCTGTTCCCCTTGCAAAGTGTATGTTTACATTGAAAAGTGATAGTAAAATTAGCTTAGTGAATAAGATGAGGCTGTATTGACTTCAGTCATACAATTATGTATCAAGTAAAAATAAAAACATCTTACAAACTATTGGAGTGTGCAACGTGTTGATATATCAGCGCAGTTATTACCAGTGAATTGGCATAGCTATACAAGTGGTTGATAATGGGATTAAACTTTTAGTTTAAGAAAGATCATAGGTGATAGGATCAGTCATGGGCTACTAGGTATTATGCAGCTACCTTTTAGATAATTGGACACTGGCAGACAAACCTTTAACACTTTTGCTGCCACCCACGTAAGGCTTATGGCGGAACACAACCGCTTGCAGGTGGCCACGTCGGTAAGCCTTACGTCGATGGCTTTCACCCCTCTGCTATAAGCTCATGGTTGCTTTAGCGACCATGAACTTGTATCAGAAGGGTTCTCCTGACTGCCTCCTGTAAAATAAAAGCTGTCATCAGCGGCTGAAAAGCGATCGCTGGCATCTGACAGCTTCTCCTGCCCTCTCCATGCTGGGATCTGCTGCTCCTCCCCCGTATGCATGAAGGTGAGCACCCATCCCTGTTTCCCAGGGTAGAGGATCCGCTTCAACACTTTCTGGATCTTTGGTTGTCGCGCATTTAAGACACTTGGATGCAAGAACTGGTTTCTTTGAGCTACAAAATAGAGTTTCTGTCTATCCCAGTTGACAGGTTTTTTTCTGTCAAACGCGTGGCTTTCTGCTCAGCGTCTCGCAGATCTGCGTCAAGCGGTGGCAGACCTTTTGTCCCAGGGGGTGATTGTTCCTCTTCTGTCCTCAGAAAGGTTTAGGGGGTTCTATTCAAATCTTTTCACGGTTCCCAAAAATATGGGCATTTGGCCCAAAAGGGATCTTAAGCGCCTGAACACCTTTTGCGGGTCCGCAATTACAAGATGGAGTCATTTCAGTCCGTGGTGGCGTCCCCAATTTTTTTTTGCCTCTGTTGACATCAAGGATGCATCAAGGATGCATATCTGCATGTCCTGATCTGTCGCTCTCACCAGCGTTATGTTCTCTTCACGGTGGGGGAGGAGCATTTTCAATTTGTGGCCCTCCCCTTTGGTCTAGCATTGGCCCCATGGGTGTTCACCAAAGTTCTGGCCCCGGTTTTGGCGTTGTTGCATCGCCGGGTGATTGTGATCTCTGCTTCATCAGCTTCTTTGGGGATCCCTAGGTGACAGGGGTCTTGGAGACCCCTGATGTCTTCATAAAGACGACCTGTCACATCCTCTTTGCTATCACATAGGGAATTCTTATCCCCCTATGTGATAACAATAAAGTTAAGTGGAAAAAAAAATAAAAGTTGCAAAAAAAAAATGTAAGTCACACATGAAAAAAATTAAAAAACACAAAAAATAGTTTAAAGTCCCCACCCATACATACACGCGTGCAAACAAGCGTTGGGTGCACATACGTGCAAAAACAACGATTGCGCCCATTACACCGCACATGTTACACATCACCGTGACCGTCGGAGTGAGAGCAATAATTCTATGGCCATTATTCAGATAACATTAAACTAATGAGCAGTAAAAGCTGTTAAAGTATTGCCTAAGGTCAATTTTGGGTATGGTAGTTTTTTTTATTTCACGGGTGCGTGCAATTTTAAGGCTTGACATGTTTGGTGTCTATGTACCCATATAATTGAGGATATAGTAACCATACCATGTCCTCAATTATGTACAATACACTCAGCGATCAATGAGTGTATGTAGCCTGCTCTCCTCTCTGACACGCTGTCACAGGAGGCTGAGTGAGCGGTGCGAGAGGAGAGCCCAGCCTCCTGTGACAGCGCTGTCTCCGCCCACACACCGCTCTGCCGCACTGTGATAGGCGGCCGAGCGCTGTGGGAGGAGAGACACCGGCCGCTCACAGCGCTCGGCCAGCTGTCACTTTCTCTCCTCCCCGCTGGGACACAGAGCAGTGCCCAGCGGGAGGAAAGAAACCACAGATGCACCAATGTATCAGCAGGAAAATGGCACTTTCGGCATTAAGCCAAAAGTGCCATTTTCGACCGATATGTTTCGGCGGCCGATATATCGGTGCATCCCTCATTATAACATAATGTTAAAAAAAAATTAAAATTCTTCTAAATTTTGGGGAATTCTTCCTTTAATATAGTCAAAAATAAAACCCACCGTGATGATCAAATGCCACCAAAAAAAAGCTCTATCTGTCCCTAAAAAATGGTATAAAATTCATTTCAGTACAGCGTTGCACGACGGAATAAATGTCAGTCAAAGTACTGAAGTGCTGAATACTGAAAAATGGCCTGGCCAGGAAGGGGGTTTAACGCCTGGTCTTTAAGTTCAAATTTCTGCCGAATTCTACTGAATTGGAAGAAATTTGAGCTGTGGGCAGCCTTGTTGGCACCACCCAATTCGACAAAATTCAATATTTGAATCGACTTTTGTCGAAGGAGCCTGGTGGAAAATTATCGGCTGAACAGTACCTACATCCAATCAGATGCAGCATGCCCCCGGGTATTTAGCAACCGTGGGAGTAGCAGCTGCTGAATACAATAGCCTTTGTAGCGTGGATGGGGGAATCTAATGATTTCCTGCAGGACTGAGTGAGAGAAATTGAAGTGTTTGGCTAGCATTAAGCTAGCCACCCACTGAGTAAACTTTGTCTGGTTCACCAAGAAGGAGGCAGGTGGAAAATTGTCAGCCGCAGAGTGCGCAGCCACTGGATAGCCTAATGGAATACAATGGCCCAACCGGGTTGGAGTAATCTGTTAGATTTTTTGCATTCAGGCTGAACACAAACAGTGAAGCCGCAAAAAAAGCCCCCAATACCCCAAATTTTCCATAGGGAACATTTTAAACGCTTTTACCGCTCATCAGTTATGGGCTAACAGTGATTGATGGCCCTAGAGTTATTGCTCTCACTCCGACTTTTGCGGCGATATGTAACATGTGTAGCGCAATTGTAATTTTCGCACGTAGGCGCACTGACGCGTGTTTGCGTGTAAATGCACGTGGGGGGGGGGACGAGGGACTTACATTTTTTTTTTTTTTTTACATTAACCCTATTGCTATCCCATAGGGGGCTAATAGCAGATAGGGTGTGACAGGTCCTCTTTATGGAGACATCAGGGGTTCTTTCAGACCCCTAATCTCACCTAGGGGCCCCAAAGAAGCTAAGGAAGCAGATATCTGCTTCATCTCCTGGCTCTAAGAGCCAGAGACTGTAACTAGTGACACCGGAAGTGATTTATTACACATCACTTCCGGGTTCAGTAATCACAGGAGAGATCAGTGGCTTGAAGCCGCTGAGTCTCTCTCCGATCATTGCGGGGAGACCCGCAGAGACCGGCTCCTTGAACATTAACACCAAGAACACTTCTGCGGGCCGCCATTTATAGACGTATTGCAGCCCGAAAGTGGTTAATGGACATAACGTATCTTTGCACCATGCGTAAACAATGTGGGGAGCATTTGCTCAAAGTAGCCAGTCAGCTTCTCTCTTCTGCTTGCTCAATAAAGCTTTGACAATAAAATATAGAAGCTGATTGGTTGCATTATACAGCTGCTCTGATTTTTGTCTGCTCTAGTTTTAGTAAATCCCCCTCAATCTATGTATTGAGAAACAAACACAATTTACTTATTTGCATAATTTTGCAACAATGCGAAAGACAATTGGAATATAGAATTATACAATTTGCAGCCTTCTCTAATCTGTCTTTGTGTGTAATTAAATCTTTTCTTTTCACAAGAGAAGAAATATCTTGCCGAGGAGATTCGGGCATTCTTTTAGCAGAGCGTGTTTTAAATTGCACAGAATAATAGAAGAAAACAGGAATATCTGAATAAGCACCGGAATGGAATTCTGTGAAGCAGAACAACATTGATTCAGATCTCCTTGAGACTGCTTATCCCTGAATGAAGGCAGAGAATTCATGCCTTAGAAGACTCTAGCAGGGCTGTGACGTCAGTAAGTACAACAGAACAGCGTCATTGGATATGTTTTTGTGTTAGATGTCAGCTGACTTCAGGCATCCAACAAAATCAGATTTGACAATTTGATCTTATACAGCAGAAGATGTGAAGATTTATGCTGCAGTGTCACTCTCCTTGACATTGAACTAGAGGAATCCTGTGCATGGTCGCAATAAAACATCTACAACCAAATGTCATTATTATCAATTTTAAAATCAGTCAAATCAATAAAAATAGTCATAGTCAAGCTTATGGAGTAATATGAATCTCCTAAATGATTACACTTGTGTAGGCCTACTTGTGAGAGATTTATATTTGTCTCCTCATTAATCTTTACTGACTTTTGACTCCGAGGGACCTATCTATATTGTGACAAAACATTGCTGAATGGTTGTCAAAAGATTTGCTGCAATTATAAAACACTTTTGCCCCAATATGTGCATTCATCACTGTTCATCCTGCATGTGTTTCCCATATCTAACTTGTACACTTCAGCCTTTGCTATCAGTAAGAAAAAAAATCCAAAGCGCCAA